TCTCTAGTGGCGCTGTTTGTCTGGGGAGCGCACGTGCCCTATAGCGAAAATCTCTCTCAAAAAAAAAAAAAAAAGTGTCTAGAAAGTAGAAGTGCTTTCAAGCGCTCTGTAACATTTATACATACTGCGTGAAAAAGGAAGTCTCATCAATTTAAAATAATTACTATCGCTACATTGAACACTGCCATAAAACACATAAAAACTTTAGGCATGAAAGCTATAAAAGGAAACAGACCCCCTAACAGCCCACATGTTAAAGAAACTACATTGAAGTACTTCTTACCAAAAGCCAAGAAATTTCTAATGTTCAGTATCAACCTAATAGTCAAGGAACTTAAAATTCAAAGATAAAGCCCGCTTACAAGGACACGTAAGTCTCAAATATGTCTACAGTTCAGATGCAAAGACCACCACTAAACAAACGAAGGGGTCCACCCCGGAGAGGCTCGAGAGAACCACACTCAGGGGAAGCGAAGAACCAGAAAGAGTGGAGGTGATGGCGACGCGAGGGCGGGCTGCACAGGACCGAGAGCTGGGGCTGCGAGGGTGCGAGCTGCTCCACGGGTCCGGTCTCAGCAAGGAGTGGAGACACCAGGTTACGGAGGGAAAGGGGGACCGTGGCTACAGGTAAAATGTTTTTAAGATCGTGAAGTTCACTTCGTGCCGTGCCTGTGAACCGTGAATGAAATAACCGATTTCCCAGCAAACACTGGAAGGCCCAGTGGTGGCCCCACATCTGCTCTGCCCCTGGCAGCGCTTCCCGCCGCCGTGTGCAGCCCACATGCAACGAGAGCAGCTTCCAGGAACCCCAGACCCCCAGCCAGGCAGGCATCCTCGCCGCCGCCCAAGGCCCTGCAAATGAGATCATTTCCGAGCACGGCACGCACGGAGGACATCTGGCAGTTCCGGTGTGCGCTGCAGTCTGCGCCTGACCCCTGACCGCCAGCTCAGCAAGCGGTGCCTGGACAGAGGACACTCCCTGCACGACACGGCCCTTCGTGGCAGACTCTGGCCAGCACGACTCTGGCGGCCACCCCATGTCTTCTCCTGCCCTTCCCACGTTCTGCTGGCTGGGATGCAACTTTGAAGGCTGGAGCTGGGACAGCCCCCGCAGAGCATGGAGCGCCTGGAGAAGTGAGGCTGGTGTCTGGTCACGGCCACCTGACTGCTGCCCCGAGAAGGGCCCTCAGACAAAACCCTTTCCATCTCACTCCTGCACTATCATTTCAGAGCTTTTCTATGTAAGAGAGACTTTTGCTACACGGAGTGTGTGCTCATCAGACAAACAGAGACAGAAGTGAGAAATCACTCCGGGGGATGGCCACACCACAGTCCCTTCTCAACCACAGACCACACGCTGCAGAACAGCCTTCTCCTTGCGGGAGCATGCGGTGCGTCCGCCTGGCCTGGGCAGCACCTCCCACTGCTGGTCAAAGGGCTCCCCCTAGGGGTCTCAGCAGCACAGTTCTCGTGGGCCGTGGCAGGACTCAGGACAGACCAGGACATTTTAAGCACAGTTATCTAAAACAAATACCATTAGCTCAGCTGGGTGAATGTGCATGCGAGCATGTGTGTGTGCGTGTGTGTGTATAAGAGTACATGTATGCATGCACGCATACATATGCACACACACATAATATATATGTATATGCACTCCTATACATAAAACTTTCGGGGATCATTGGTTGATAAAACCATCAGAACCAGCAGTTCGTGAGTTGGTGTAATGGTTATGTCTCTGGACTCCCATGTAGTTGAATGCAGTTCAAGTCCCAGACCCGGTGGCTTAAACTCACACCGGGCACGTGTGCGTGCGTGCCCGAGATCCCAAGAGGAGAATGGAGGAGAAGGGACTGCAGCATGGCCATCCCCCCTGGGGGATGATTTCTCACTTTCTGTCTGTCTCTCTCTTTCTGGTGAGCACATGCGCCCTATAGCAAGAACCTCTCAAAAACAAACAAATAAAATAAAACCTTAACCATCAAAATTTTTGTTAAAAAAAAAAAAAAAAGATCTATCCCGACTATTTAAAGCCACTAGGAGAGAAACCTAGAATTTACAGCACACCCCAAAGGTCATGTCGAAGGGGCAATGGCAGGTGGGAGGCCAGGGTCCCGGCAGGGTCCCTTACACATTACGCATCTGTAGGAGAGACCGCCAGGTGCCAACAGAACACCTATTTAAACCAGAGACGAAAACTCCCAGACCCCTCCTGTGCACTCAGCCAGGGCCAGGCGGCCTCCCACCACAGGTGGGCCTGAGGGGCGGATGACGGGGAACACCTCCAGGTACAGCTGAGCAGCCCTGGTGCCGAGGTCCCGCCCCCCCAGGACGGTGCTGGATCCCAGCCCCCAGAAGCAGACCCCCACACTGTCTCTCCTCCCAGCTGGAGGGGGAGCTTAAACATGTGCACAGACATTATGGCAATCATAACATTTGAAAGCCGTATCTAAATTTTAAAAGTTAACGTGTGAGACCGACAGCTGAAACGCCGTGCTTACAGGACTCCTCCGTTACCTTCTCTCCAGGTTTCGGTGACTGTTGCAATTTCTCATAATCTTTCTTCGTCTCCAAAATTTTTTTCACAAGTCCACCTGTTGAAAATCAGTAGTTTTATATTAGTTTATTCTCTACCCCCAAGAAGCAATTCTAAATAGATGGAAAGGGAGGGGAAAATGCTAATTCCTATCCCATCTCTTTTTCTTCCTTTTATTTATTTATTTTTTTAAACTTACTACAGGATACATGCATTGGCCAGAGAGAGGGAGAGGGAGAGAGAGAGAGAAAGTGAGAAAACACCCCCCTGGGGGGATGTCTATGCCACAATTTCTTCCCCTCACTCTCCTCGGGATTTGGTGCGTGCACATATGCCCAATGTGTTTTTCAAGACACTGGGTCCAGGACTCGAACCACATGCTGGCCACATAGGATCCAGCTGCCTTAACCACCACACCACCTCGCTGGCCAGGCCATCTCTTTCTGTACCACACAATTTCAAATAGCCTTCATTTGCTAATGACAGGGTGACATGACACCTGGTGGTGGGACTAACTGTGAAAGGTCAACGCAGCCCAAGGAAATCAGTTCTCGGCAGGGTAAGACATTTTAAAGAAAAAACAGATTTTCTTTTCAATTTCTAAATATTAAGAAATGTAAACAAACCTCCGAAAGTATAAAATATAAAAGTATATCTATCACAAACAGATATATAAAAATGTGAATATAAAATATAAAGATAAATCTATCACAAGTAGATAAAGCAATCAGAACTAACTCCGAGAACTAATGCTTCTTTTGTACCAAAGGACAAGAGCATTCAACTTCTCTTAAAATTATCCATGGGGTAAATGTCATGTGAAAAATCACTTTTTAAGAACTGCTTTGCCCAAGCATGCACTGCCATGCCTTCCTAATAGGATATACCTGAGAACAAAAGGACCCTCAGAACAACCCTGCCATGTCTCCTGTGATCGCGTGGCCGCTCCTGACTTGCCAGGGCCCTAAAGTGGCTGCGTGTGCGCAGTGCGGGCTGAGACACACGAACGGCCATGCTGCAGGGAGCTGCTGGCTCAGCAGGAGCTCAGAGACATGCATGTGGGAAACCAGAGAATGTGGACACCCTACCCCCAAATCTGAACTGGAAACATCGCTATGAACTGATTTTTTTTTTTTTAAATGAAATGAAGAAGTATATCCCTTGGACCAGCATATGGCATAATGGCTGCTGCGTTGCTGGACTCCTGTGTAGTCGACCGCGGTTCGAGTCCCGGACCTGGTGGCTTAAATTCATGCCAGGCGCATGTGCGTGCGTGCCCAAGATCCCGAGAGAAGAATGGAGGAGAAGGGATTGCGGCATGGCCATCTCCCCTGGGGGATGATTTCTCACTTTCTATCTCTCTGTCTCTCTTTGTCTTTCTGGCGAGCCCACGCGCCCTACAGCAAAAACCTCTCCAAAAAAAAAAAAGAAGATCCCTGCTCTGAGGGAAATGCTCAGAACACGGACT